TCATTTTACTTTTTAATTTAATAATTTTTTTACTCTATTTGTGTGTGCTACTACTAGACTATAATATTCCAAATTTTTTGGTAAGATGTTGCTGTATAAATCATTTCTAAAAAAAATGATTGTTAGTTTCTCTTGAATTAACAATGGATTTCTAGATCTTTTAAACAACTTTTTTTTAGTTAGTCATTTTAGTTAAAGTAAATCATTAAAATTAATTCAGTTCTGCATATTTCAATTGTAGAATCTTTTTAAACATCAAAAGTTACTAGGAAATAATTATTATTATTTCAATTTAAGTTATCTATTACGATAAAAATGCAAAAAAAATATTGAGCTTTTCTGATAAATTTACAGTAAATAGTAATTATAAAATTTGCTGACTACCTATTAATCTTAACGATACAATTTTTTTAATTCTCATAAAATTTTCTATTTAATGATGTCATTTTCAAACTTGCCAATTTAGCTAAAAGTTATGGTAATAAATTATTTGTTTTTTTGTTATAAACTTTCATAAAAATTAACTTTTAAGGATTAAAGAAATAGGTTAAATATGTCATTTCCATATTTTAAACATATTAATAATCAAAATCAGTATTAATTTAAAACAATTTTTTTTGTTCTTAATTATTTTTTATAAGTAAATACTTATTTTTTAATAATATTAAAAATTAGAAGTGATAGAAAAAGTCTAATTGCATATTTGAAAACATCACGAAAAGTTGATTTAAAAAATTATATTTTGTTTCTGATGAAAGTTCCTTGTAGTACAGTGTATAAAACTTATAACTTTGTTATAAGTAACAAACATTTTTTATTGGAAAGTATTGCATTAATCCTTCTAAATTTTTATACTCGTTAAAAGTAAAGAAATATACAACTACTTTATTAGTTTTGTAATATCTCTGTAAAAATTACAATATTAAAATATTGAATATAAATTTCATACTAAAATTAATTACTGTAATTATTATTTATTCATATAGTATAATTATGAATCAAATAACTAATCGGGATAAAATTAAGGAAATAAGAGTTATTGTTGCTTTTGAAATAATCTATCAATTTCTTAAAATTAAACACTATCTACTGATTTATATCGAAGCGTTTCTTGTGATAGTGATCACTGACAGATATCATCTATACTTGTCCCAACTATGCCACTTCCATACTGTACCGCGACCCCACTGTGCTACCGTTTTTTTTTTTTTACTACTATTCCCATATGAAAAATGTATAAGTAAATACACTGTAAAAATTTATATAAGAAACAAAAAATTGAGTTTTAAATGCTAATTGTGTTATTAGTTTATAAAGGATTAATTCTCAAGTTATAGTAATTTTTTTGTTAATAACATATGTATATATTTTAATTACAGTATAAGAAGTTATCTGACCACGCATAGATTTGTATTATAGAGATTATTGATTTTGATTAAAATATATCTTTATAATTAAATATAATTTTAGTCATACATAACAAAGTTGTTTTAAATTTTGTACATCAATATTGCGTTGCGAGCATTATATATTTTAATTAATTGAACATTTTAGAGTGTGAAATCTATTAACTACTTATAAAATATTCAAAAAGGCATATATTTTTGATTTAAATAAAAAATGTTGTTTGAAATAAACTTTTAATTACTGCAGTTGAATTTCCAAAAACTACATTGTTTGTATAATGAGTATTATTTTTTAAAAATAATTCACAAGAATTACATAAATAATTTACCCCGGTGCACGCGCAACANCTATATTAAAAATATTATTAATTTAAAAAACTAAAAAATATTAAACTCAAAGCCACAAAAAATTAATGAAAAGTCGCGGATACGTATTTCGGAAACAATGTTACCATTATCACACATTCACATATTTTAAATAAAATTAATTAATATATTTTAAATTAATATAGTTGTATTCCAAAGAAGTGTATTCAACAATGAGTGTCAATTTTTATTTAAAATAAATTCGCAAATTGAATTCAAAATCTAAAAAATTAACTGGTAATTTTTTTATGCACAATTAAAATTGTTTTATATTAGAATAGTTCGGTCTGCCCCTTGAAAATTTGGACCACACAGAGCTCTACTATCCAATTATGACTACTTTGTGGTAGAATTACACACAGTATATATGGTACTGGTTAACTTTAACAGACATAATGTTAACTCCTACACAGATTGCCGTACTCATCGGGATGCATGGGCTGCATTGCACCGAAGTTTCAAGATTTTTAGAGTTTTGAGGGCCTCACATTTTTACAATGTTTGAACATTTTATAAATGCTATACTAAGACTTAATATTTTCTTTCAAAATTAATCTCATTTTAGTTTCAATACAAAGTGAAGGATGTATTACTTTAATAGTTATTTTTTTATACATATTTTTTACAGGTGTATGTATTTTTTACTTGCTTTGAATTCTAAGCTTTAGTTATATAAATCGATCATTGGATAAAAAAACTTGAATATTTTTATTTTAAATACATTTTTAATATTACTTTACAAATAGAATAAAAAACAAACGGTAGCACAGTTGGGTCGTGACATAACTAGCACAAGTATAGATGTGACGTATTGTTTAAAAAAATTGGTCAATAACGACACAAAAAAAACTCATACAATAAAATATTTAAATATGAATAAGAAATTCCTTCTTACAAAGGGAGACTACAGTGATACAGTCCTTGATATTCGTTGAATATTTTAATTAAATGTTATTTATTATTATTTTGGATTTTTTTCCACCTTATAAAAAAATTAAGAAAAAATTCATCTGGCAGAGTTCGAACTTCGTACCCCGAACGTATAACAATGCAGCCAACGGCATTGCATGAACATAAGATAAAAAAAAACTATTAAAGCTAGCTCAATAAATTCAAAGTCGCTTTTCTTAATTTTAAGAAGGTAAAATAATCAAAATAAGTTTAAATTTATATTTAATGTAAGTTAGATTCATTGTTAAGATCGACTGAAGGACAAGCAGTCTAACCTTGACTCTAGCCGCTCACACACACACAATTTTAATAACACGGTGGTTATAAAATATTTACTCCAAGTGTAGGTTTCGAACATTTATCTTTATTTACAAAACCTAAGAAATACAAAATCAAAATACAATTTAACAATGTAACACAATATAAATTAATCCGTTCGAAATACAAAGTTTCACGCGCTAAACGTCCTGACTCGTAACTAAACGTTTCTTAGTCAAAACGTCAATCCCGCTTTTTCTTTTCACGTTTCCATTTATATATTCTTGTTCATTATTATTTTACTTAAGAATTTAAAATTGTTTACTAGTGTTAAAAAACGTATACTATATTAATGGATGTTATTTGATACCTTCTCAGCTACACTTGTAAGGTATTTTAAAATAAATAAACAAAAAATAAAATTTGAACACAAAAATAGTATGTTTTTTAACTATGGCAATATTTGCACATAGAAGATATAACGACATAGGTCGTTTAAATTAAAAAGAACTAAGTTCACGTTGAAGCCTTATCTTAAAATTTTAACGCATGTGTGTGTAGTTCACGTAAAATGAATACATTGCATCTCTGTTTTAACAAAAATTGCTTTAGCTAAATATATGATTTACTATATAGGAATATTTTTTTAATTTTGTATAAGATATACACTAAATTTTCATGAAAAAATTACTCACTTTATCATTGATAAAAACAATTTTAATTATATTTAAAAAAAATAGAAATTATAATATAACATCGTTAATTGTATCAATAAAAATGTATTTTTTTATCAAATGTCTTTGTCATTATCCTGGTCTAAATTAATATCAGCAACACTTTTAGAACTTTTTTTTGCTTCTGTAAAATAATATATATATATGCATATATTATAGTTCATTTTCTAATAATAGTATTTTCAGTACCACTATTTAGTTAAAGCACAACTATTGTATTTAATATTGCAGCTACATAGAGTAATAAATAAATAAGGAAATTTATTATAAAAATAACGTTTTTCTATTTTAAATTTTAAAATAACAATTTTTTAGCTTATTTTTACAAAAAATGTTATGGGTTGATAATAATTTTAGGATAAATACTTAATAGGCCAGTCAACAAAGGAAAAATGGCGGAAAAAATTCCCAACCAAATTTTTTTTTTTTAAAGTTAAATTAAGATATGTATAATGACATACTAAAAGTCCTCATTGATTGGAATTGAGCTTTTTTTTTACAGCCTCGCAAAAGTTCAAAAATATGAGCTTTTTTAATTTTCTCAAAAAATATTTAATTTACAAAAAAAAAGTTTCGTACAAATAAGGCTACCAGACGTCCGTATTTTTACGGACAAGTCCGTAATTTTGAGGGTCGTCCGTATTTCATGAAATTATCAAACATTTTCAAAAAGTTAAGTGCATGAAAAAATTACGTGAAGTGGCGAGTAATTGGAGAATTCTGTGATATTCTCTCTTATTTTTCTCTAAGAGGCGAGAAAGAGAGAGAAAATATATGTCAAAATGGGCAGAATCAGGCAAACTATAAGTTTGAGTAGTGACAAACCATGCCATCATACGGCACTGGAATAACTAGCTTTTAATATAACTACTGTGTAAGCATGCAGTAAGTACTGTATGGTTACTGTAACTGTAAGATGTAAGTATATCGTTATCTTATTGTTATTATTATATATGTCATGTCTGCAGAACAGCTGTTATTTACATTTACCGCATTTACCAGCATTTACGTGAATGTCGTCAGTAAATCAAGATCAAACATTTCCAAATGGAAAAACAATTCCAGAACCGAAACAGTCAAAAACTTCCAAGGCGCTCAAGGCCAAGAAAAAAAGAAAATGTCAATCTAGATTATCGATCATCGATTCCTATTGATAACAATTTCTATCGATTCTCATTAATTTTCATAAATGCGCATCACCTATCACGCAAACAAATTAAAATATTTTTTTTTAATTTGATTATTTCTTCTACTTTTTGAAAATTAAAAAAAAAAATTTTTATTTTCTAATTATCAATAGGGAGGGGGGTAGGTTTTGACATGTCCGTATTTTTCACTCGGAACATCTGGTAGCCCTACGTACAAAAGTTGTTTAAAAGACAATTCTAAACAAAAAAAGTATCTTATATTTTTCATTTAAATAAATATTTTTCGAGTTACATTACATTTAATGAGTACTAAAATTTATTTTTCATTTTTTTCATTTTACGGTTACTTTTTATCATGTTATACTTACATTAGACACAATGTTATAAATGTATATGTGTGTATGTGAGTTTATTTATTTATAGTATGATTAAAACGTAGTGTATATTAAGATACAACCGATAGAGTAGGTAATTGATTTGACGCAATATGGTTTAAACCCAATTAAACGCTAAATTGTACATTCCCAAACAACAATTATATTATGTCAATTGCCACCGGAATTTCTGCTAATATTATTATTATATTATATTAAGATAATTGTCATAAAGACCAAAAAAGAGATTGAGGGATGTTATTGAATGCGATATGAGGACAGCTGATGTGAGCGTAGATGATGTGGGAGATCGTATCAAGTGGAAGTTTAGGATAAGGGTGGCCGACCCCAAGTAGTTGGAATTAAGGCAAAGAAAAAAAAAAGATTTTCAGAAACTCGAAAAATATTTGTTTAAATGAAAAAATATAAGATACTTTTTTTGTTTAGAATTGTCTTTTAAACAACTTTTGTACGAAAATTTTTTTTGTAAATTTAATATTTTTTGAGAAAATTAAAAAAGCTCATATTTTTGAACTTTTGCGAGGCTTTTAAAAAAAAAACCTCAATTCCAATCAATGAGGACTTTTAGTATGTCATTATACATATCTTAATTTAACTTTTAAAAGAAAAAGAATTTGGTTGGGAATTTTTTCCGCTATTCGCCAAAATTACTCTTTCGTTGACTGGCCTAATATTAAATTACAAGCATTTTAATAAATTGAACTGATATGTAGAACAGGTGGGTACAATTCATACTCATGTTAGTGCACTCTACAGTACATACCTCCTACTCAATGTATTATAATGTTTGTTACTCTTTTTATTTCTACATTGGATTTATTGCGGGTCACTCTGGTACTGCTATTAAGCATTACTTTTGGATGGCCCATAAATGCTTATAACTTAATAAGCACTAATCTTAAACTTATTATCGATCCATAATATTTTTTTAAACAAAAAGCTAAAAAATTGCTATTTTGATATTTTGAAAAATTTATTAAAATTTTTTATTATTTAAGTCACATAATAAAAAAATATGTTTTTTATGGTATATTAATTATCATTTTTTCATTTTAATTATTATTAATATAAAATTAAAAAATTAATGTTGAAGTTAAAGGATCATAAAAAGCTTATTAAAAAATATAATTTAATATATTTACAAGTTACTGTATATAAGTATATGTAATAAACTTTTAATATATAACAGGTATAACCTGGCCAATGGAATTGATCTGCAGTTCGTTTACGCATTTCGTCTAAATTTTCACTAGCTTGGGCCCATTCTAATACTAATCTTCGTCCATATAAATGAGTACTATGACATAATGATTCCATTGCCACTTTGGCTTCAGTTTTAGAATTATACTCAACAAAAGCAAAACCTCTATGTGTACCTGTACCAACCATTTTTTTTGGCATTCTTAGTCCTTTCAACTCACCAAAAGTTCTAGATAATTTAATTCATTATTGTTAAAAGAAAAACTACAATATTTATATCCATAAATAATTTGGTACTAACTTAAATAATTCAATAACCTCTTGAATACTAGCTTGAAATGGTATGTTTCTTACAAGAATTTTGGTACTTTCTTGATAAAATTTAGTTTCTTTACGATTATTTATTTCAGTATTTCTGCATAGTTACAAGAATTAGTTTTGTTATTATTAAAGATTCTAATTGTTTACACAAATTTATATTTAAATATAAACATTAACTAAAATTAAATCAATTTAACAATACACATGATCAATAAAGAAGAAAATAAGTTAAAAAGTGTACATATATAATATATATATATACATATACACTTTATGTATAGGTCTTAAATGTACCACACTATTCTTAATCACTAAAAAAATTGAATATGTTTATTAATGCTTACTGCAAAGTTCTATTTGATCGTTTTAATTCAATAGAATGATCATCCAACATAGAAAATTGTTTATGTTTTAAAGCTTCCATGAGTGATTTTTGCTTAAAAAATTGAATAAACCCATATCCCATACTCAATAATTGGCCAGGATTTTTAGGATCTTTTTTTCGAGCAATAGTAACATTAGCAATTCTTCCACATGATCCAAAATGCTAAACATATTAAACAATTTATTTTTATAATACTTTACATAATTGAGTGAATACCTACTTTTTTAATACTTTCTTCAGTAGTTTCAAAATTTATATTTTTAATAAATAATGTGGTATCTAGTTCAGGTGTATCAACATCATCTTCTCTTGGTGTTTTATCATCATTATCTTTAATATTCAAATTAATTAAAAAAATACATAAAATTTTTCACTAAAGTATAGATAGTATATATGCTCAATTAATATTTTTAATTAATTTTTTTACAGTGTCTCGGTAATTGATTTTAATAAGTCTAAAAATATAATTTGATTCAATAAAAAAAAATATATCGCTTAATCGTCAAGAGTATTAGAAAAAAATACTTTTTTAAGCTATTAATATATTAATTAAAAAAAAGTGTAAATTAATTAATGATGTTGGCTCTCTGAAACTTATCAAATTAGAACACTCCCAAGATTTTTATCCTATTTACGCTACTATAAAATAAAAATAAAACATGAATAACAATTACTAATGAACAATTTTATCTATTTTCATTTAAATTTTTTCATTCTGCATGAAGAATTAGACAAAAATCATAGTAGTACAGTAAATAATTAGCAATATGGTAGCCATTATTCTTGGCATTACATATAGATAACTTTAAACATTAATTGACCTTTATTCTCAGCATTACTGATGGAAAGCACTTTGTCTGGTGCCCACTCTAAATATAATGGTAAACTTTTAAATTTTGAATATGCTAATTGACGAAAAGCTGATTTTGCTTCAGAATTTTGTACAAACTCAACAAGACCTAAAATTTTAAATAATATTAATAATATAACATAGAAAATGAAGTACTTTGAAGTTTTATGGACAAATAGCTACCTGTTACCCCACTAGGTGGCAAAACTACTTTTTGGACAAGTCCATATTTAGAAAATAAATCCTTTATCTCCAACTCTGTTGTATTGGCTGGTAAATTTTTAACAAGTATAATATTTTTACTTCTATTGACTATAGTCTGAATATATAAAAAAAATTAAAATAATAATTAACCAGAAAATTCTTTGAAAACATACTTGATTAAAAACATTTAGCATAACACCGTGGTTTTCTAGATAAGATTTGGTATCAGAAACAATTTGAGATTCTCCAAGAGCTAATCGTACAGCAGCATTATCACCTGTTAAAACCTATGGCAATGTCCAAATAAATTAATCTGTGCAATATAATATATTATAATTTAAATTAAAAATTACATTATCTTTAGTGGTATTATATGTTTTAGCTATAATATCAGCAACTGCGTTTTGTCCTAAAAACAGGCTATTCCAATTGTTAGACAATCCTGCTTCTGACTTTAATTTTGCCATTTTTTTTTTTTTAAAGGAACTACCTTCTTTATAGGAATTTTCTGCGAAAAAATACATTTTATTTTTAATTTTACTATTTTAACATTTGAGAACAAACATTCTGATTTCTTTGTCACCCATTAGTACTAGTTTTAGTTATTATTGAGGTGGACATAATCCCCATGCACTCAAACCTGTTGGTCCATTGTGCGCATTCGGTTTACCCACCGAAGTGTTATTACATTATACCAAGCATAAAGTCACCCCTATAGATGACCAAAGAGTCCTGTCTTTCTGGCGAAATTAAGTACCTGTCTGAGTTTGTTACCCATTATTACGGGTCATTGAATTTTTATAACTAGTCAAGTAATATCTTTTTATATAGAATAGCAATCTTAACATTGTGAAAACAAGTGTAAATTAATATTTAATAATGATTTAAATCACCATCTTTAAAATTTTTGATGGGTATTAGTAGATAATAAGTTAAGTTAATAAAATTTTTATATTTAGGCAGAACAAGGAAAATTTTTTATTGATAAAAATAGTTATACCTAAGTTTTTGATTGGATGTAATGAAGATATGGTGTAATAATATATATATATATATATAATTTATTTTTATTTACATTAATAATATACAGAATATTAACTTATCATGAATAATTGAATTAATAAAAATATAAGAGATTAAAGCTGACATCCTTTTAGGTATAATAAATGAAACCAAAAAATAAATAAATTTAATTTATATAACTATATTATGTTATTTATCATTACATATAAAAAATATTTTTATCTATTATTAATTATTTTTATTTTTTATTAATATAAAGGATAATTAACTTATCATGAATCACTAAATTAATCAAAAAACAAGAAAATATTAATAATTTTAGCTTCGATGCGAAGCTGAGAAGGTATTGGTTTTACTAAGATGTGTTTTTTTTTTTTTGTGTGTGTCTGTTACCACTTTTTCTCAGCTCTCACCGAACCGATTTCTTTCAATGATATGTCAAAAGATCACAAATCGTATCTAGTCGAAGACATTACCCTCAAAAATTGAAAAAAATTCCCTCGTTCCCGTAAATGGGGGAAACCTCCGAAAAAATTACAAATTTAAAAATGGCCAATTTTCGAAATTTTTTCAATTTTTTTTACTAAAAACTGCCGTAACTTTTTAAAAAATAAACATATCAATATAATTCTTTTTTTTGTAGATGCATGATGTCTTTACCTATCAGTTGGTATATTTTTTTTATAAATCTGACTTTTTACCTGCCTACATGGGGGGATTCAAAATGATAACTTTTTTACAAAAAATTAATTTTTTCAACTAAATTTTTAAAAGTGTTCTGGAAGGTCTGACACTTTTATATATATCTTAAATTAAAGCTAATGTAATGTACTTTATTATGCACAAAAAAAAAATTTCGGACTTTATTTTGTCTTCATGGTGAAAATAGCTACCGAATGCTATTATTGTGTGAAAATTCTTGATTTTATTTTTTACATTTTTAACTTTATAATGATATAACTTATTGAAAAGTGTATGGATCAACATAATATTTTTATGAGAAATAATATTTTTTAATGAATCAGGATATTAATAACGAACTAGCAGATCATGTTGCTTTTGGTATAATCCACCAATTTTTTAAAATTAAACACTATCTAAAGATTTGCATCGAAGCGTTTTTTTTGATAGTGATTTTAATCACTGTCAAATATCATAATACTTGATCCAATTATGCCATGTCACCACTGTGCCGCGACCCCCCTGTGCTGGGTTTTTTATTTTATTTTACAAGGTAGTTAAATATGTAGGCTTTCATTTAAATAAATAAAGTTGACACCATTATAAGGTATAACTAGTGACCAAACAAGGCTCAAAATACATACTAATTTATTATTAATTAATAAACATATTTAAATTATAAATCTTATTACCTGACTCTAATGACTCTTTAGCTTTTCCAGGCAACAAATGTAACATTCTACCATGGAAAATAGTACCATCTAATTCAGTGTAAGCTTTTACAGCATGTTCGGGCATTAAATAAGTTATCAAGCCAAAACCTTTAACTTGACGTGATATTTTATCAACTGGAATTATAGCTTCTGTAACAGGACCTACAAATTTGATTTATTTGTTGTGTGTTAAGATATAAATGATAACAAATCTTTTAAAAACTAACATTTATTTAGGTAGCTTTATATTATTTTACTAATGAAACTTACTGTGGAATAATGTCCAATAAAAATTTCTAATTTCCTAAATATTTGACTATTTATATTACATTTATTAAATTTTAAATTATACATTTTATAAAGAAATATTTATTTTTTATTATTTGATAAATGCAATCTATACAATTTTTTGTATAATAAGCTTCTAACTTAAGGGTAGTTATATAATATGTAAACTAAATAAGAAGGTATCCATTGGTAATTATTGACATTTAAATACTAGTGATTATTTCATATTTATTGCATTACCGTAAATTGCAGTCCATAAGTCCAAATAGGTTTGAGTAGTTTTGTAAATTAAAAATTTAGTTTTTAGACTAGTAAAGTTATTTTTAATTAAAAAGGATTTTAGAAGACACATTTGTACATTAAGGGTTAATCTATCTAGTATTATGAATATTATAACCCCAGATTAGTTATTCAACTAAGATGATTCCCAAGTACTTGACTGTATTTGATATGAGAATCGGAATGCTGTTCAATGTAACATTATGACATATACATTGTTTAAGCGTGAATTGATTAATTTTGATTTATTTTAACTCTCCATTTTTCATACCACCCAAACATGAGGTTAAGATGTCATTATAAGTTTGAGGAAGTAGTTAGAGGATCCTTGCTAATGGATATAATTAACTTAGTTATCATTATAATTGGTAACAGAAGTCTGTTAAAGAATGGGCTGGTAAGAACTGTAAATATTAAAAAATAAGGGAGAAAAAATGCCTTTTTTTTGAACACCAGCATACGTTTTTACAATATTTAATGTAAAGGAACAATACTGGACCTGAAAGTGATAGGTATGATTTAATTAATAGGAATAGGGAAAGAGAGATGATTTTTTATTTTAAATACAATATGAATTATAATTACCTTAATCATTTTATTAACTTCTGCATAAATCAAAGAGTAATTACAAGAGCTTGGGATTCAAAACATTTAAAATTTTTTTTTTTTTGGCTTATTACTAAAACACCCAAATTCAAAAATATTTTATAGCTCAAGAACTTTTATATTATATGTTATTTTATTATACTATATAATATTATTAAAAATATGATATAATCTTTTTTTAATAAAATAAATAGTTTAATATGTTGATAAAAATTCTGCTATAAATCTAGATTTTAAAAACTAAGCTTAATAGTAATAAAAATCTACTATTTTCGTTAGAATTAAAATTTTTTATTTAAAAATAGCATTTCTTTTTAAACAAGCAAAATTTTTATTAAGTATTAACGATGTCTCTAAAAAATTGTTAAAATAATTTGTCATTGTATCAAATAAAAATGTACAAATTTATTGTTTATTTACCAAATTTTTCAAATAGATTTTGAAGTTCATCTTCAGTTGTTATGTAGGGCAAATTTCTAACAAAAATTCGACCTGAATCTGCAATACATTCTTCATTAATTAAACTATCCGATTGTTTTTTCCATTCTGGATTACTAAGTTCTTCACTATTTTCTACATTTTGTTGGTTATATTCAGTTTTTATAGGAAACATTAAAATTTGTTTACCGTCTGTAAAAAGGCAATTCAAAAACTTTATATTTAAAACATAGATACTATTAAACAATAGCAAATTTTTAACAACATACTTATAAAACTTTTATTTTTTAATAAACATTGATCAAAGTCACTTTGTTTTTTAAAGCCAACATATGCTACACCTTTAATTTTAGGCGGCAATCGAATAGAATCAAGTTTTAATGGTTTAAAAAACTCTTTTAACATTGATTTTTTAATTTTATATGGTAAACCACGCAAAATAACAGTATAGAATTCTTTTTTAGGAGTTTTTTTTTTAAATTCTTCACCACTAGGCAATTTTCCACTTTTAATTTTTAAATACTGAAAATAACAAAATAAAACAGCAGTTTTATAAAAGTAAATTAACTAAATCTTATATCAAAGATATATCTATATATACAGAGTGATTTTCTAAACCTAGCAACACAATTTATCCTAACATAATAATTACATTAAAAAGATTATTTTTGTCATTTTTTAGTTTCATATATTTCATATATTTCTTGATTTATCAGTTATTAATTAATTGTTTAACTCTTCCTTAAACCTTATAAGGTTGTCAACTTTATTTTTTTAATGACAGCATACATATTTAACTAGCTTTTAAAATAAAAAAATACTATTTTAGAAAATAACTGATAGATAATAATTTTTAAACTATTNAGAAGAGTCCATTTTCCAGACCGTCTTCAAGTAGGCTCCGCTTGACTCCGTCACTGGTAGGGGAGTGATGTAGCGACCAAAACATACGCAACGAATATTCTCGAATGTTCTCGTTATCAAAAACCTTCGAGAAACTTCGATAACGCCATAAGATAACCTACGCGGGTATAGAATATTCTAGAATTAGCGAGAGCCTTATCGGAGCTATATATATATCGGAAGAATCAGTCAGTTCAGTTAGTTCAGTTGAGTCTGTCTAGTCCGCGATACGCTACACGACCGCTACACCCCGCCGCTGTTGTCATCGTGTATTATGTTTACTTCGATTATTTTATTTTTCCTTACTGTATATACATATATTTTCTTTTAGTGTTTATACGTCTATTTTCGTGTTATAATTTTGTTTAATAAAAGTCTACCGCCATTTAAATAATTGTGTGTTGTAAGATATAACCCACANAAATACTATTTAAGAAAATAACTGATAGATAATAATTTTTAAACTATTATTTTAGAAATTATTACCATTTTAATATATAGACATGAATGAGGCACGGGTATAACAATATTTGTTATTATACATTTATCAGTTGCATCTATACCCAGCCCAAGTACAAAAATCTTATTATCTTTTAATGTACTGGTCCAAAAGTTATTATTGACTAATTAATTTCTTAACTATTTTTTATTTCATAAACTAGTTAAATATGTATGCCGTCATTTAAAAAAATAAAGTTGACAACCTCAAAAGGTATAACGGAAGAATTAAAAAATGAATTAATAACTGATAAATCAAGAAATATATGAAACTAAAAAATGCCAAAACTAATTTTTATAATATCATTACTATTTTAAGAGAAATTATGTTGCTAGCAATAAAAGAATCAATATATATATATATATATTACCTCAAAATCAGATATATCGGCATCAGCAATTTTTTCTGTGGGATCATTTTCTACTTCATTTTCATTAGGAGTATCTCTATTACCTTCATTAATTTTTTCTAAAATTTTATCTTGTCCATGAACTTCCAAATATTCAACAAATAATGGATCATCAAGGTGCTAATAACACAAAATAATCAATATTAAAATATATTCTTAAATTTATTTTTTAATTATTAACTATGAATATATAAATGAATAATAAATTTTACCAATTTCAATTTTTCTTCAATCTCAGGTTTTAATTTTATATTTTTTTTTTTGGGATCATTAATATTTGGAAGATCTTTTATGATATTTTCTTTTTTTATAGTTTTATAATCTAATGAATATTTACTCCAAGATTTTACTTTTTTTTCATCGCCTGATAAATAAACAGGAAATAAATAAAATAAGATAGATCAAACAATAAAACTTAAATTTTATACAAAGAACTATAAATTTTGATAATTTGGTATTAGTAAAATTATAACAAAAACTTTAAATTACTACAAATATTACCTAATTCAGCACATTGCTCAACTTTAATTCGAGCAGATTTTAAGAATGAATTATCAAAATATTCTAAAGCTGCTTTTGCTTCTTCTTTACTTTGATATCCAACAAAAGCAAAATGTCGAAATTTACCTTCTTTTGTAAATTTTAATTGAACATCAGTAATGATCCCTTTTTGGCTAAAAGTTTTCCGAATTTGTTCATCTGTTATCTAAATGTTAAGTAAAATAATTTATTTAAAGATTAAAGAATAAATACAAATCATATCAGTTCTTAATTGTTTTTACTATTTATCAATAAATGATGTTTCTTAATTTAAAAACTTGTAAACTACTACCATTAGCAATGATGAGCAAATATATAAATCCATTAGTTCATCTAATGATGCATTTGAATTATAATTGGATATAGATAATTTTGTGATTAGTTTACAAATTATGATATAATAATTAATTTAAGTAAATAATATTAAATAATTCATTTTCTAACTTAATTATACTTTTGACTGCAATTCAAATAATTTTTCATTACAAGTAGTCTTTTTAGGTGTTTTTGATACTAAACTACATTATAGTAATCAGAAAGACATTAATCATACAGATTACAGATCTTTTTTGAAAAAACTTCATTTTAAATGTTTGTTAATTGTTTGTAGTATTAGAGATAATAATAATCTATTTTTTTTTACAAAACATGCATTATAATTATTTAATAAAATCGCCAGCTAATTTACTGATGTCAGTAGTTCGGCTCGAATAAATAAAAAAATCAACTGCAAAATTAACAATATAAAACACTTATATACTTTAATCTAAATGGTATTTTCTACTTTATATTTTTATTTAAATTGTAAATTAATTATTTATACACTATAAATTCATAATACTTATGGCTGTGATATTAACATATAATTTTGTAAATGGAATTATTTCTATATATTGTTAATAAATAAAAATTAAGTTTTAAATATAATAAGTTACATACATTGATAAAAATATGATTTATTTAATTTTATACCANTTTAAATATAATAAGTTACATACATTGATAAAAATATGATTTATTTAATTTTATACCAATTGACCAAAAATAAGTCATTCCAGGATATTATACAATACTTAGAGAGAATGTTCAGTTAGTAAGAAAAAGAGTTACTATTGTTCTCATTGTATGTAATAATTGATCAGTTTCCTTAATTTTTGAATACCATGTATATTATAAATTTGATTTATATACCCAATCTTACAATTGGATATTTAGACTTAGATAAAATAAACGTAAACATGTTAAATAGAATAAAATCCTAAACAAAAATATTCATTATCAATTTCCACTTACATCCTTTGGCAAGTTCTTTATAATGACTCTAGACATTATAAATTTACCACTATAATGTGTAGAGTAAGTTTATAATATCGTAATGTTTTTACTATTAAACTAAGATATCCAATGACTACTTTATAATGAAGGTTATATTAAATTTCATTTCATATTTCTTAAAATTATTTAATTGTTTTATGTTCAAGTAATATTAAAATATTTATTATCGTGCGATTAGGTTTGTTATCAACATTAACCATGTGCATTTTGCATCTGTGTGATATAACCATAGATCTTCTAAATATGGATAGGACATTGATGTTTTATCAGTGAAAACTATGGTGATAGTAAATTGAGGCTATTTGTTTGTATTATTACATGATAAGATTTTGTTATTATTATTTAATGGTTAGTTATAAATAATTAATATAAAACTTTATGTTATAATTTATAACTTGTTACATAATTAAAAAACAATATCTTATGCGCTTATCACAATTAAAATGTAAGCAAGCGGCCTCATTTTCATATCAGTTTAGGACCGCGAAAACATAAGGGCCTCAAGTATGAATGTCCTATCCATGTTTACATAGATTAAATACACATAGATAGGCCACGGCATTCAGACAATTGGCAACCAATTTTTTGTTAATTTATACCCGTAGAGATAGCGCTATATATCCTCTCGGAAATATTAAATATTAATAATAACTGTCCAGTTTGCTGATATTCAAATAATAGTCACGATTATTGATGTACGGCTAACATCGTTAGCGCAAATTAAGATAAGAACCAGTTAATACTAAAAGGCGATTGCTTATTTGATTTAAATGAAACTTTTCGTTTTAAATACAAATTCGATAAAACATGTGTTTTTTATTTTATTAATATTGATTTAAATTTGACTATTATTTATGTTTTTTAATTTTCTCTTAGTGTTGAAAATCTTAACTTATTACATAACAATTTCTCGCTACCGATTTGTCCACTGTCAAGATTTTTATATTATTTGGTGTTTAATTTCTTAACTTACCAGTAATCAAGTCTAATAAAGATATTTATTAATAATTACACATATTATAAGGTTTTCATGTATAAAATTAGTAATTTATTTTTTCAAATATACAATGAAATATTAAAAAAAAACAAATTTTAATAATATATAATTTAAAATATAAAATATAGTTTAAAATATAAAAATTTTAAAAACTAATATTTTAGAAAAAAATATTCAAACAAATAAAGCAATTTTAACAGAAGTTCAGATCACTAAAAATGATAAAATAAGAAGTTAAGATATGTTTTTACCGCAATTAAAAAAAATACACTTATTTTCATGTTGTGTACTCATTGTTATAATTATAATTATACAGATAATAATACAAATAAATATATTAAATGGTAAAACCACACAAAAGGGACCTTAGTCTTCAGTACTCAAGTGAAAATATGAATAGTGATTATGATATATGGAAGATTTTTTATCTAGTTGGATATTTTTACATTGATAGGTTTTAAAAACAACACAAAAATACAAAATAGGCATGATAATTCGTGTTACAATAAGATGTAAACATAGCTAATACATCCTGTTTTTAATGCAATTCCAAATATAATCCTGGCGCCGAGATATCGTATTATTAAATCGTACTCTTTTACGTGGTCTATAGTACAATTGTTTTACGATCTCTCAAAAAGTGTTAAATTTTATTTTTAATCGTGTTAAATTTGTAGGGTCACATGAATTCATGAAATTAGGCTTGTCAGAATCTATCATTAAAGTAAAAAGGACCCATACTAATTATACAACTGGAATTATATCTCTAGCTATATATATGATCTTATAGTAATTAAGAAAATGTTTTTATTGGAAGTTGTATAACATAAATCAAAGATAATTATGCAATCATACCGATTTTAAACACATCAGAAAAAGATGTTTCGATTTCTATAAATAATATTAAATTTGATTTTTTACCACAAGATTTCGTGCTCATAAATAATATGTAAATACTATCAATTGTAATAATGTTAATGCTAATAATAATAATAATAGATTAACTCTTTTAAATCAAAACCTTAAATTAAATCATTTAAACGGCAAAGAAAAGTCGTCTATTAATAATCTATACAATCAATTTAATGATATATTAATTTTATCCGATGATAAATTATCTTATACTAATCAAATTGTACATAAAATAATTACTCCTAATGCTCATCCAATTAATATAAAACAATTAATACCTTATGTGTCATAACGAGGAAGTTGATAAACAATTAAAAAATCTTTTAAAGCAAGGTAGCATTGAAAAGTCAAATAGTCCATGGAACTCGTCTAGAATTCTAAATTTTATAAAGGAATATATATATATTATGTTTTGTCTGTTAATAAATATTTTTTTGATTTGTTTTATAATCTTTTTTTAGTTTCATAAAAATTATAAATTAATTGTTCAAAAAAAGAGTTATATAAAAAATTAAATAATCTGAATTATTTTTACCATGTCAGAAATATTTATTAACGATATTTTTTAAAAAGGCACTAGTATAGAATTTACTCAATACCTACAAAAAAGAATGAACCAATAAGTTAATACTTATTTGAGTCATTATGATATCTTAACTATATGCTATGTTAAGTGGAAAAAATGATACATAATAAATGTATTCGTAAAAAATTATAAAGTTATGTTTATGAATAAAATGAAATTACACCTTTCAGAAAAGCTAGATACAAAAATAGTGCTTATTATTTAAAAAAAAA